AAGAGTGGCTGTCTTTTCCCACTTTTTCATGGAAGACATAAAGACCTCTTTGATAGTGTGATTTAATTCAGCTTTTCTTCTTACTGCTGTGGTTATATTCCTTGGGGCAAGATGAGTAAACTAGCATTTATGAGGTGTAGATAATATAGTTGCTAAATAAAATAAAACAATGTCCCTGTAAACTCTCTCTATTTGCACTACTTTCCTCTGAAAGACTTAAAATGTATATAATACATTGCTGCAGGATAAATTCAGCATGAGTCAGGCTATTCTCTTTTTCTGAGGTGTGTACATACATGTAGAATTCCAGTAGTGGCAACAATATTTGAATAATTAATTAAAAGTTCATCTTTGAACTGTGGGCTGACTGCATACGTTTAATTATTGAGAAATTGTGTTCACCTTGATGTGTCATGTGATTTGTACGTGCAAAATGACAGCCCCAGACACTTACTGCAGTGATCAGTTTCTCTCTGAAGAATTCAATATTAGCAAAGAAGATAGGAGATGAGCATCTGAAAATCTTCACTCCCTCTGGCTCATAGATCTGAACAATGAAGGAAAAGTGTCAGTGATGATGTCTGCTACAGAAAGGGAAATGCAGCAGATAATAAAAGAAACACAACGTTTCTTACATCAGTGTAATCCTTCCTATTTCTGTAGATGTTACTTCTCCCAACATTAGCCAAAACTGTGCAGCTTGGACTGTGAACAAACACACACACAGGTTATTTGCACTGAAACCTGGTGGAAGGGAAGGATCAGAGACAGCAACCTCAGCTCTAGTTCTTCAGAGGGAAATGGAACCCACACCCAGGGGTTTACCCCTGTAAATAGTTTTTCTATACACAATTTCTGGACAGACCAAGACTCAGGATTGTTGGGCTTCTTTGTATGAGAAGGAGTTAATTTATAACAGGAGGCCCTGAGATACCTTTTCATTGTGTCCAACAAGTACTCACATCTGGGAGCGGATCACCACAGTTAGCAGCTGGAAGGCCACAGCAGTTCCTAGCCCAATATCCAGGCCAAGAAAAACAGCAGCTAAGAAAGTCACCACCCATATAACCTGTAAGAAGCAGGTGGATGGCAGCAGTTACGAGCGTGTTAAGGACTTGGGTCATAAGCCAAGTCTGGGAGTAGAAACAGATCTCATATCTGGTCCAGGCTATCCATCAGCCTTTGGTGAGGGGTGTCGTGTTTCCTAGAGCTTTTTCTTATAAAACAGGGCCAGACTCACTGACTAGCACCAGGGAGTGTTTCTAGGGATGACAATTTCTATGAAAGAAAAGCTTATAATAATAGAGGAGTGGATCCCTCAGAAAGGCAATGTTACAAGTAAATCAGGATCCTGGTGAAGCTGAGAGCTGTAAATGTGCAAATGTAGGTGCTGTGAATGTGTGCAACTGATAAGCACAAATTACTAGATAATACGAAATATTTTTTTAACCACAGATCTCAAAGCATTTTCATGTGGTAAATAACTGGTGCCTGGGAAAGGTGAGGCTCGGAACCATTTGGGAATGCAAGGAACTGGCTGATTAGAAAGGCATTCTGAGTGTCAGAGGTAAGCAGTCCTGATACCAGCCATGAGCTTTACCATTTGGAATAAGCCCTTCAAGCCCTGGTTTCCACCTGTTTTTTTGCTGGGTAACTTCCATCTAACATGCTGCCTGGGTGTGAGAAATTACCCCTGAATGTGTAGCCAAATGCAGTAGGTATTCCGACATTTTCTGTAACTGCCTTCTATATTTGAGTTGATATAATGAACTGTATTGTAATAGATTTTGATGAAATGGATGAAAAGGAAGTTAGGAAAGAGAACTGACTCAAAATAGGTGGAATAAAATAGAAAGTACAAGCAAGGGGTATACAAGTGAAAAAGGCATGTCACTATTGTACTTTGGATTTAGTGATGTAAGGCAGGTATAAAAAAAAATAACCTGTAAGTGAATTTGCACAACAGATTATTTTCCCAGAGTACTTCATTCCTACATGCTTGCAGGACTCCACTTACACAGTCATACTTGTCCTTCCTCCATAGGGCACCTACTTCCTTGAACTGCATGAGCATTCCTTTCAAGTTGCCAAGAGCCAAAGATGCAAGGACTGACTGTTAAAAAGACAAATACACTTGCTGAATTTTAAGGCAACAAGAAAATGCTGAACATTAAGACTTAGAAGATGACACAAATAGGGCCAAAGTACAGCTGAAAGGCCAGTCAGCTCCTCACAGTGTGTGTCTGCTGTGAGTTGGGATGCCCTGTCCATTGCACTGAAACCTCCCCCAGCCAAGCTGCAGTGCAGGGGACTGGCCTGAGGCTGCAAATCACACCTACTTTTGGCATGAAAAGCTGGTGCTGTGACTTTTGGGGGCACTCACATTCCCTTTGAGGGACTAGTTGTAGTGGTCCTCTCTGCCATGATCTGAGAAGAAGAACCAAGCTTTGCAAAACCCTGTTTGGCTCCCACTGGAGCCTGTGAACCCCCCAGTGACTCCTGGAGCAGCCCTTTCTTTGGCAAACAGGAGGAAGCATTAAGGTGAAACCAGTGAATACCTTCTGTAATGGCTCCAGGAGAAACCCAATGGCCAAGATCACAATCAAGACGATGACAGCTGAGATAATACCAGCAATCTGCATGAGAGAATAATTCCACCATAAGTAAGTATGCAAAAGCACTACAGTCATCCAGGAAAGAAGAGACCTTTCTTGCATTAAACACCATCATTGTCTGTTGTCTTCTGTACCTGTGTTTTGCCTCCCGTGCTCTCCTGCACACCTGACCTCGACAGAGCAGTGCTGGAGGCAAATCCTTTGAATGATCCACCAATTATGTTACCCAGCCCAAAAGCAATTAGTTCCTGAAATAAAACCAAGATAGAATATTCTTAAAAGGTAGTTCATGACTGACAGTTATTCACAAGGCAAAGCTTTCCTAAAATGGCTTCTTTCCCACTGAAAATTCCCCTGTGTTGGTTTCTGTGTTATTTGCCTACCTGGTTGCCATCTACTTGATAGTCATGCTTGATGGAATACACTTTAGCCACAGAGAAGGCTACTGCAAACCCAACAATTGCCATGGAAATGCTGTCACCAATACACTCTTGGAGGATACCTACATCAGGTGCAACAGGGGCCTGAAATCTGAAAGACAGAAAGATCTACTTGTTAAGGACAGGCCAAAGGAGAGAAGTTGTCAAGCAAGCGAGCAAGGCTGCATCCAGCTCATACTGAGCACTTTGGAGAGATGTGACACAGAGTTGTGGGTCTGAAGCCTGTAAAAATTTGGTTAATCCTTTATTGCAACAGGGACTCTTAATATCTGCACTCAATTCAGTTTGTGTCTCAGAATGTTCTCATTTCCTTGGCCAGGACCAGCAGCAACTTATTTTGTCTGAGGTGCACACACAGCTCAGGTGTAAGAGCTGACATGGCACTGGGGCCCCTGCACAGACAGTTTGCACACAGGAGTTTCCTTAACCATCACAAAATAAAAATCCCTGCATGATTCATGGAAGTATTTTAGACAGCTAAACAAATACTAAGTCAGATAATACTGACTAGTCTCACAGGCTACCTGCTAGATACGTTAGCTGTACTATTTCCTGCTTCTTTGATCAGGGGCTGTTGCAGATCCTAGGATCCTAGGGAGAATTCCTTTCTTTTCTTTTCTTTTCTTTTCTTTTCTTTTCTTTTCTTTTCTTTTCTTTTCTTTTCTTTTCTTTTCTTTTCTTTTCTTTTCTTTTCTTTTCTTTTCTTTTCTTTTCTTTTCTTTTCTTTTCTTTTCTTTTCTTTTCTTTTCTTTTCTTTTCTTTTCTTTTCTTTTCTTTTCTTTTCTTTTCTTTTCTTTTCTTTTCTTTCTTTCTTTTCTTTTCTTTTCTTTTCTTTCTTTCTTTTCTTTTCTTTTCTTTTCTTTCTTTCTTTTCTTTTCTTTTCTTTTCTTTCTTTCTTTTCTTTTCTTTTCTTTTCTTTTCTTTTCTTTTCTTTTCTTTTCTTTTCTTTTCTTTCTTTCTTTTCTTTTCTTTTCTTTTCTTTTCTTTTCTTTTCTTTTCTTTTCTTTTCTTTTCTTTTCTTTTCTTTTCTTTTCTTTTCTTTTCTTTTCTTTTCTTTTCTTTTTTTTCCCTCCAGTGACCATCCAGAAGCACCCCGGGGCTACAAGAAGCAGTTGAGTGAAGGGCTGCAATCTGCTGCCCTAGTGAATGTCTTCCTCCTTCTTTTTAACTTAATGTTGCCTATTAATCATCTAGGCCACAATTCTGGCATAGCTGGATGTTCTCTCTGTATAGATATGTACTCTCTACAGGGGTATATACTTTCTACATGGATAAACTCGTAGAAGAGCAGACACTGGGGCCTCTGGAGGATAATGGTGCCTGAGAAGTCATTGGTGGCTGGTCACAGGGGACATGGTAGGGGAACTATGCAGTGTCCTGGTGGCTTCCCAGGACTGCTAGTGGCTGCTGAGCCATGTGTATACTTCAAGGGAAATGCAGGAGTTCAGGAGTGAGTAACTCAGTAAAAGGGCCAAACACCACAGCTGTCTTAGAAAATGAAGCATGAAATTATTTCTTTGTCAGCAGGAGATATGCTCTAAGTGAGCCACTCCTACCTATTGAACATGTGTCCTCATATTGCTAAGAGCAAAATGTTTGTTTACCTACCAAAAGAAGATGAAGCAGATTATTTTAATCAAAAAGCAGAGCTCAACCAGTGTAGCACTGACAAACTGGACAGAATATTTTGCTCCACTGGTAAATGTTAAGCAAGTCACTTACCCTTCCTCTAGTTTTCCAACGACAGCTACATTGAATTTTTCTTCAAAGTTCACAAAATAGGAAATCAGTGCTGCTAAGACTGTCTGAAAGATAATAAACCCCATACCCATCAGGCACATGCAAGTAAGAGTAAAAAGAAACTGGTAAAACCTATTTCTTTCCCTCTCCCACATGCCCCCAGTCTCATTACATAGGGGCAGAATTATTCCCCAAGTCTTGCACATCTCTTTGCTGTTCAGTTGTCATTCCTGAACCACCTTGCAGGTATGGCTTTACATTCATAAATCACATTGAGAATATATCAGAACATCTCATTAAGAACGGAGAACGTCCCACCCAATAAACCTGGTGTTTTCTAACAATGTTCTGTAATAACTTTGGGGGAAAACAAGCATCACCTGCATCTATAGCAACAGCCTCCAGGACTTCAGAAACTTGTTGGTTGCATGAGGCTCCCTCATCCCACTGCTGCTTGGGGAGAAAAATCCCCTGCTGCTGGTGGGCAAAACTGTTTTGTGCTTGGCCAGGGAAGGCCAAGGCTTCAGTGGCTGTTTGCAGGTGTGGTGCAGAGGGGCCCCAGCCATGGGACTGCAGCCAGCTGGTGTCAGAGGGAGGCAGCTGGCTTCATCCAAGGGAAAAAAAATCAAGTTTTATAACATTTTATCACTACAGTTAAGAACAACTAGGTAGTAGAGCTAAAACACCTCACAATAGTTCATGAACACTGACAATTTTTCTTTACAGATAAAATCACAACCCATGGTTTAATATAGAACAGGAGAAGAAATGGTTGAAACTCTGTTTCCCATGTGACTATAGTGATGAAACAACTGCTAAATCAAAGGGAAGTGACTGTTACCACGAGGAGTTCAATCGGGATGGGAGCTGGTAACTTTGCTTTGTATCGATCGTTCATTTCTTTCACCACGAACACAATAAGTAAGACAACAAGGGATGTGACAAGGTCAGCGATGTTTGTGTCTGTGATCTGGCTGAAAACACTCTCCAGAGTCTGCAAAACCAGGGAAAACACGTGGGGTTTTAGAAATAGTAGTGGCCTGACACAGTAGCACTATCCCTTCCAGAAGGGCCTTTTCTGAACTGCTTCAATGGTTGGGATTTATTCCCTGTAGCCTGATGTGGTTTGAGAGCCCCGAGGCAGGTGCACCTGCGTTATCCAAACAGGGAAAGCATCTGTGAAAGACCCTCTCCTCCTGGCTTCCCCCTGAGGGAGGGCTGGAGCAACAAATGTGTGCAATGGAATCACTGAGCAGGTGCCTCTCTCTGCTCCTCCCTTCCTGTCCTCCTTACTCCTTTCTCATCCAACAGCTCTCACAAAGTTGTGTCCAATTTAAATATGTACAATATTGGCCCAGTAATAATGAAGAATTAAATGCTCGTGGCAAAATTGATTGCTTAATTAAAATATGGCAACACACAATTGAAAATATTATCTAATTAGCCCAGTGGGGTGTAACTTGTTATTGGGCAATAAATTTAAAGATTGGTCATATACTAGTAACATCTCTTCTATTTTTCTCTTGCATTTCTTCCTCTCTGGCTGTTTTTATGATAAGTTCCGATATTACTGCCTTGTGATACACAGTCAGATACACATCACAGGTCTCAACAGCATTAGCAAATAACTAACACTTGGCACTTACATAGATGATGCCAAATGGTTTATTAAATCCAGGGACTGGCAGCTGAAGCATGAATTTCAGCTGAGACACCAGCACATGGACTGCTGCAGCAGTCGTGAAACCGCTGATCAGTGATTGTGATAGATAAATAACAATGAATCCAAACTGGAGAATTCCCAGAAGCAACTGAAATGCAAAATGACCATATGTCAGTGTGATTAATTTCTGATTTGAAGGTATCTCTGCAACAAAGAGAACCATATTTAAACAATCAAAAATTTTCACCTAAGCCCACACAAGCAGGGGTGAAAGAAAACACTGTCACCAGACTTGCAGTAAAAAGCTGAGACTTAGCAATAGGAGGCATAAGTAAGAACAATTTCTAGAGCAGTCAAACCTATGCTTTTTATCTTATAGATAAAATAAAACTCCTTAAGCTTGGGGTTTTCTATACCCATATTATTACATGGTACCAGTGTTTCATGAAGCACAAACATACTAATATGTTAGGAAGGAAAGAACTGTAGTAATTCTGTATTAAGAAGGAAGGAGAAATTGGTGGTTTTTAAAAAATACTAATTGAAATACTTTATTGTTATGAGACAGAGCTTTTATTCTCCTTGCTGCGTCTGCATAATTCACATTACTCTCACAACTACTTGTTTCTTGTCCAGCAGATTGCTTTTTGCTGTAGGTGGGGTGCACCTATGTGGGCTGTAGGCTCAGGTCTAGGCAAAACCAGGATTTCACAGCTGGTCAGTGGAGGGGCAGATGTCTCCAAGTCATTGAACCAAGGTTAGTTGCATGTGAAGGGGAAAATAATTACTTTGATGACTACACCAGTAGAAAAAAAAAAAGGGGGAAGGCCCATCCACCAGCCCTGTATTCATGTACGGGCATATAGACACATATGGGCACACACATATGGTTACCAACCTGGAAAACCCCAGAAAGGAAGGTTACAGAAGCAGCCACCATCACCCTTTCTTCATTGATTGCAGAGATATTTGTGGCAGTGCCATTTCCAGCACTGTCATCGGGGACCAGCCTGACGACAACTCCTCCCAGCATCAGGCTGAGGACAGGGAAGGGACCTAAGCAGCACAAGGTGTTTGTTAGAGACATGAAGAGACAGCATGTTCTTCACCAGTGAGCTGGGTGGTTGGTGTGCTGGAACTTACCCACAGAGATATGTCTAGATGTGCCAAAGATAAAATAGACCAGAACAGGGAAAAATGCTGCATAGAGCCCATAACCAGGTGGGACATTCACCAGCAAAGCAAAGGCGAGACCTGCATGGACAGAGACCCAGGGAGAGCCATGAGCAGGTTGCAGGCTGCAGCCAGCAGTCCCTGTGCCCTGGCAGAGCAGGCTGTGCCTGAGCACAGCTTTCCCAAAGGTACCTTGCAGGACGGCCACAAGCCCCGTGTTGATGCCCGAGACGATGTCGCTCAGGATCCACTCCCTGAAGCGATAGGCTGGCAGCCACGAGAACACAGGGAACAAGCTCAGGGCAATTTTTTTGGCTCTTTGTGGGGAGCAGCTGTAAAGACACAAGAGGACACAGCTCTGTCTGTGAACAGCTCGGCTGAATTGCAGCACGTCTCCAGAGGAGAAACAAAGGGGGAAAGATTCAGGTTCAGGCTACCAGAGGTAAAAATCTCACCCAGACACAGCTCTGATCAACCTGCTCTGCCAACTGTGCTTCAAGGGGGACCTGGTGGCCTCCAGAGGTCCCTTCCAACCAACATTTTCATAGAATGATATAATGTTTTGGGTTTGAAGGGGCCTTCAAAGGTAATCTAGTCTGACTCCCCTGTAATGGGCAGGGACACCTTCCAGTAGACCAAGTTGCTCAGAGCCCCATCCAACCTGACCTGGAACGTTTCCAGGGATAGGGCATCTGTTGCCTCTCTGGGCAACCTGTTCCAGTGTTTCACCATCCTTAGTGTAAAAAAAATTTCTTCCTTCTCTCTAGTCTAAACCTCCTCTCTTTCAGTTTACAACTATCACTCCTTGTCCTATCACAACAGACTTTGCTAAAAAGTTTGTCCCCACCTTTCTTATAGGTCCCCTTCAAGCATTGAAATGCCACAATAAGGTTTTGAAAATATCTGGTGAAGCAAGACACTGGAAACGACCCAAATTCATCTGGAAAATGAACTGAAGGCTCTACAGTTTTCTTCTCTGACTCCCTGCTTTCTACTTTGAAGGAAAAAAATGCATTTGCAGCAGTAATGTGATTATTAGCAAAATAATCTGAGCATTGTGTCCTTCACAGATATGTTTGTTAATGTGATTTGGCAGAAACCTTTATCCACCTTGTTTCTTCTGTGCTCTCAAATTCTGCTATTTTGCATTCAATGATTCTAATCAGATGGCAGGGATATGGATGCACTGCTCTATGAGTAATGCTCACTCTGAGATCATTCACCACTCGGCCAACATTGCCATAGCTCTTGGGCCAGATTAATATTGAAGGTCAAGTACAACGAAATTACCTGGTTTAAGTGACTGTCACTTTCTCAGTTAAAATGCAGAGCAGTCCCTGATTGAAGCAATCAGGCTTTAATTGGAGGAGCTACTGTCTCAAAATATCATGATATGTAGTCTAAATCTACCCTCTTTTGGTTTAAAATCATTATCCCTTGTTTTATTTTCCCAAGCCCTATTAAAAAGTCTGTCTCTCTCCTATAAACCCCTTTTAAGTATGGAAAGACCACAGTAATGTCTTCCTGAAGTCTGTACTGCCAAGTGCCCAGGAAAAGAGAAGCTGCCTGGGACATAAACATAGTAAGATTTTTAAGGGTAAAAGCAGCCAAAATCCGTTAGAAAAATCTGACATCACATTTGTTTAATGAATTTTCATTTGCATTGTTGGACCTGAGATGGTAGTTGTCAGGACGGAGCTCATGCTGTCTGAGAGCCATCTGAGCTGGTTCTTAGGTCCCTATTTCAAAAGGAATTGAAATTTTCCTTACCGAAAATATAGTTTCAGGTGATCCCAAAAGGTTTTATGGTATCTGTGCAATTTCTCATGCTCTTCATTGAACAAAATCTCTGAGTACACAGGTCTGGCTACAACATAGTGGTTGCCCAGAGGTTCAACCATTTCTCCTGAGATGTCAGGTGGGGACGGCAACTCGTGTGAGCTGCTCTCTGGCCTTAGTCACTTAAAAACCTGAAATAAAGAACGGGGTTAGCTCCTTATGTACTGTGGGGCAGGTAGCCATAGCATAGATGAGTGAACTCCAAACTGGGTGTTACCACCTTTGAAGATCAAAAGAGAGATGGTGGAGATACCCACTTCACTTTGCCAAGGTGATCTCTTGCCCCCTCCACCTCCCATGGCAGGGCAGTGTTTCGCTGGAGCATGAAGTATTTCTTTCTAAAGATGCAGCCAAAAGTGGACGGGATGGATTTTGAGTTAATTTATCTCCAAGTCAGCTGTTTACAACCAAAAACTTCCTCCCTCAAGGGCGACTAATTTCTTAAAGAATAAACAAGTAGATCCAAGAGGTTTCTCTTTGTGGCACTGCCAGGAGGGCTGGGAGCTTACTGGAGCCCACCAGCACATGAGGGGAAAGGCAGAGCCATGGCAGGGCTCAGCCACCCTCTCTTGGGCTTGGGGACAGGGAGGAACCTTTTGACTTGTCTCTGTGTGACGAGGAGGTTAGGCTCAGTAGTAATAAAGCACAGTGTTGCTGCTTGTTAAGTTTTTTGTAAGCTCTATTTCCACAGGTTGTCTGGACTGCTTCCCCTCTGTTTCAAGCTCACAAACAGCTGTTGCAATGTCTGACCTAAATACTATTTTCTGCTGTGTCCCAATCCACATTCACATGTTTGTGCTGAATAGAAACTGCCCTTGGTCACCCAGAAATGACTCCTGAAGCCTGCATTACACATGAGAAGATTCAAGATTCAGTCATTAACACTGAGAATTTTGCAGCAGTTAATTGATGTCATGGTGCTGCCCACTGTGCTGTTATGTTTCTCTCAACACCTCACATTCTTCCCACACTAAAGTCACCAAAATAAATGTTCAGTCTAAAAACATTTCTCTCCACTGTAGCCATGACTAAATATTCTCTTCTAAACTGTATCTACCAACACGACATCCAAACAACCCTTAAACACATCCAGGGATGGTGACTCAACCACCTCCCTGGGCAGCCTATTCCAGTGTCTAACCACTCTTTCTGTGAAAAAGTTTTCCTAATGTCCATTCTAAACTTTCCCTGTTGCAGCTTGAAGCCATTCCCTCTTGTTCTGTCGCTAATTACCTGTGAAAAGAGACCAGCATCAGCCTCTCTACAATGGCCCTTCAGGTAGCTGTAGAGACTGATGAGGTCTCCCCTCAGCCTTCTCTTACCCAAACTAGACATTCCCAGCTCCTTCAAGTGTTCTTCAAATATATCACAGGACAGACTTTCAAGTGGCACAAAGCAATTTGCATCGTGGATAGAAAGCTTTTTATCTATGACAGTTTTGGCACTAAAACATGAATCCCATTGTGAAACTTTGGGCCCATTATTGGCCAATTTCAAGTGATTTAATTTTCATTTCCTCCTTGTTCATTCTGGGGAAATTAATATGTAGAAGTCCAAATAATGCCAGATGAACATCTCAGATATGCTGGTTTTGTCGATATGCTATTTTTTCATGGAAGACTCACTATTTTGGCAATGGGTTAAACATTTTTACTACCTGTTTTAACATAAAAAGCTAGATCTGTAGTATTTAAAAAAAAAAAAAAAAAAAAGGTGGGTAATTATTCTAAGAGACTAATAATCAAAATCACAGATAGAACCATAGAATCATATCCAGAATGCTCCCATCGTTAAATCCTTCGACTCCTTCTGGGACATGATCAATTAGTGTAATTCTTCTGATGACTTCAATAATATGTCCAGCCACACATGGTGACCAGGAGCACAGAAAATCTTACACTGCACAGCTGTCAACTGGTAACAAATTTCACTTAGTATTGACCAAGACTAGGTGTGAACTGAAACCCCAGAGGTAGCATTTTAGTTCAGGTTTATTCCCTCTAGCCTCTGATCTTGTTCTCATGACCAGCAATTAACAGCATTACCATCCCTCACACACCAAAAACTCCAGCTCCACTGCTAACCCCCCACAGCTGTCAGCCTTTGGTAATTCATCTTTGGATGTGTGTCATTTTGCTGAGGGGATTAGCAAAGTGATACTTTTCCTCCTTTATTAATTTATCCTAAATATTGACTAAGCAGTACACAAAAATTTGGGAACTTCAACTGAAAAATTAAATATTAACACACCTCCTCTCACTTTTCAGTCTGTGTGTACACACTCACAAACTCTGTTTCTCTGCAATATAAACATTTGAAAAATACAAAGAAATTCCACAAGAAAACCTTTTAAATTTTACAAGAAATACTGCACATGATCAGAAGCACTGGATTTGTAAGTGCTACTTCACATATTGTAACCAGGATGGCAAGTCAAAATCATACCTGATATGTCTTTGAGGAAGCTCTTCAGAAGAAACCACACTAAGATTTTATGGAGAAGATATCGCTGAAATTTTCAGAGATAGTGCTGGTATCTTGTGCTGTTCTTCATTTCAGGACCTCCCTAAATACTGACAGCACTTTAATAACTAACTTCAGTTAACTTTTACAAGAAAAGGAAGATTTCACTGTGGCCTTGACCATTGAGCCTATCCTCAGGAGGGATGATAAGAGTAATTTCTTAAAGTTCTCTCTGATATTGCTTAACTTTGTTTGGTGAACTGTTCCTGATTGGCCTGCAGAGCCTAATATGGGAAAACAGAGATGAATAAGAAGGACTGTCTGTTGCAATCCTGTACTGTGTATCTGCCTGGTTTCTATTGAGCATTGTGGGAAGAGAGGGCCAGAGCTCAGCTATGGTACCTTCATGTCTGCAGGACCGTGAGCCACTGGCAATGGAGATGGAGCTGCTGGGCACGCTGGCTCTGAGCAAGGTGTGCCACTGTGAGCCTTCCTCCCAGGCACCTTCAAGGGACCCTAAATTGTCTTTCCAGAAGCAATTGCTGTGTGCTCAGATCGTTGCAAAAAATTGCCTTTGCAGAGATTTCCAACAGCCAGCCATGACTTGGTAGAGCTGACGCTGCAGCATCTCATGGCAGATGGTAGAAACATGCAGACCCTGAGTGTGCACAAGTGTTGGGGCATGAATGTGGCATAGGTGGGTTGGGCTGTCCTGCAGGATCCTGCTCCACTCCACTGCCAATAGAGGAACCGAGGGAAATCACCCTCCCTAGGCCAAAGTGAGTCTTTGTAAACGTTTCCTTGAGATACCTAAAACCACCTAAGGAGATAGCTTAAATAATGTTTTAGTGCTTCAGGCTGCAGCTTTGGTGGCAGGTGCTCACATTCAGGAGAGCAGCTCAGTGCTGAGGACACCACACCATCAAAGTTCTCTGATGAAAACTGTCCTTAGGACTTTTCCTTAGGTCATGCTTCCACATTCACCTAGAAACATTTCAGCCATTGGTACTCATGGTAACAGGAAGGTTGAGGGGTGCCAAGCTGCATTCCTCCAAGGTGGAAGACGGGGCTTGTCTTAGCTTTTGGGGATTTGAAACCACTGACCCCAACCCTGAAGAAAGGGTTTTCCTAATGTGGTGAAAGGCACGAGAGGGGGGCAACATGGGTACCCTGGAGGGACAGTCACACACATGGCTCTGGGAGGAGAAGAGGCAGGAGGAGCCTGATGGTCTCCTCTCAAGCGGTTTGCACATATTTCAGTCAATGATTAAACCAAGAAATAGTGAAGCCAGCAGGACTCCAGTATCTGTCCCCTCAAAGTGTGAGCTCTACTAGTCTCTTCAATCACGGTTTGTCTCCTGAGCTTCAGCCTGCAGCTGTGGGTTCCCCAAGAGTCTTTGTGGACCTCAGGTGATTTTGGAAGCGGAAGCTACACTTCTAACCATGACCATAAGCTTCCCTAGACAATAAAGATCTCAGGTCACTTCTTAAACTGTTGAGAGTACCTTCTCTGCAACAGCAGACCCTTGTTTTTGGTAACTGTTTCTAGGCTTAAGGGATTTGCTGCAGTTTGTAAAGCTAACACAGAAATTACTTTTACCATTGAGGTAACAAACGTTTTAAAAGGTCAAATGAAACAGCTTTTGGCCTCCATCCTCAAAGTGCAGGCATGGTGACAGAAGTGCTTTAAAACTCCTTTGAAGGGCTGAATATATTCTTTACTCTCTATTTTGGGATACATCATGAGAAGCTATGTAAAACAGTAGGACAGGGACTTTTTCGGGACTAGGTTTAAATGCAGGAGGGACTCTTGGCTGTGATGAAGTCAGTAGAGTCTTGTCCTTGGCTTCATCACGTCCACCTGTGAGTGCTTTACTCTTGGATTATTTCCACTAATTCACTGAAGCAATAAGGTGCTACATGGAGTGACAAAGGAGATAAACACTTTGGCCTTTCTGTTCACAGCAGTAATGTTAGGATCACATTTTTCTCCTAATGGTGCAGAAGAGGTTTCATGCACAAGGATCATACAGGGGACAAGTTGCATCTGTCCCACTCCACAGAAGTTCAGCTGTGCAAAGCTAATATCTTTACCCAGGGTGCTTAAATACCAGCAAAACTCCATAACCAACTGGGA